TTGCTTTGAAACACTATTGCGCATAAATTTTGCAGTTCTGTTATGAAATATAATGCAAACAGCACAACCAATCAGAGAAGGCCTTAGTGTTGACGTCATCTTCGGAAGGATTTCAATCTCTTAGACAAAACCAAAGTTTTGAGCTGGATTATAAGCTATTTATTATTATTATTATTATTTATTCAGTATTCAGTCCAATCATGGCTATCTTGTATAGTCTTGTACCTGAATTTGTGMAGTGAGATAATGGGTTGTTACGGTGACGCATGTAGCGAAATAGAATTTTACAATTTCGTCAACAATTTTCCCACATCTCCCTCCAGCACACGCGCTCATTTTTTTCTCTTTTGTTTTTTCCTTTTTTCCTTTCTTTTTTGTTTGATTGTTTTGTTTTAATTGAAGTTGTTATTCCCGTATCAGTTAAAGTTGTTTGTAGAAAGAAAAGAAGATTGTTTAATTAAATTGATTTGCAATTCAAAATTGGGTAAGATTACATGCACGAATCTTTCCCGCTATGTCAATCAGTGTTAATCTAATAGAGGACAATCATTTAAAACAACATTTTTTATAGTTAATCCAGTTAGTATTACTTATTAATTTCGCGCGTATTTTATGGCCTTGTTTTTCCCATTTTAACATTTTAACATATTTCAATTCATGGAGTTTACGTCTTTTTTTAAAGATTTTTAACTATAAAGGTTCTCTTAAAATCACTCTTTTTGATCAGCCGATCAAGTTCTAATGAGCTTTTAAAGAAAAGGTTCTTTAACGATTGCGCCTGCTCCAAGGGCTCCAAGGGGATGATTTTGCACAAAAGGTATGGGTTGCCTGTGTCGACTCGTCGGTGTGATGCTGGTCAGCAGTATTGCCCATGGCTATCCAAGATGGCGGAAGTTTCGAAGTTTGTAGAAAAGACAATTTCTTTGTTAAATATAGAAAGAAAGGCCGAAGTTGACGAAGCAAGATCCATTCAGGAGAACGTAAACTTAAATGAGCTTCAAAGAAAAGGAGTATGTTTGTTGAAACTTCGATTAAGGAGCCGTTGTACTGGTCTCTACGGCAGGTCTCTCTTGACGTTTGAGAGCTCGGAGGTTGGAGGCGCAGAAAGTCCAGATGGTAGAGTTCTCCCAGCGCACCGCATCACTCCAGGTAAGAGAAGAATGATACAGTATATCTATCATTGTTTTATCCAAGGATAAGGAGAGAAAAAGGAGACGAAACTCATTTTTAGACCCAAATTCACAATTTCTTGCCTTTCATGTCTCCTCTCCCACTGACTACTCATCTCTCCTGGGGCTAAGCATTGAATTGTGTATTCCCCCCTCTCCCCTGGGGCAATAAATTGACTTGTGTATTCCCCCTCTCMCCTGGGGCAATAAATTGACTTGTGTATTCCCCCCTCCCCCCTGGGGCTAAGCATTGACTTGTGTATTCCCCCCTCCCCCCTGGGGCTAAGCATTGACTTGGGTATTTCCCACCTCTCCCCTGGGGCAATAAATTGACTTGTGTATTCCCCCCTCTCCCCTGGGGCTAAGCATTGACTTGTGTATTCCCCCCTCTCCCCTGGAGCAATAAATTGACTCATGTAAAAGTCTTATATCTATTTCATTGTTTTGTTACTTAGGTGATATTGTAGGAGTTTACCAATATGGATCAACTGCTGCTTCAAGTGAGATATGTTCTGGTATTGTGTCCCGTGTTACCCAGGCAACCATTGTTGTTGCCTTTGATGATTCAGCAAATTCCCAAGACATTGATAATGATGGGCAATACAGGTTAAACCAGTTAGCAAATGATGTCACATATAAGAGGATTAAAAGGTAACCGTCTGTCTTCTTATTATTTTAATCATAGACAATAACAACAGCAGCAGTAGCAATAACAAATACAATGCAATAGCAATATCTCGAGAGATGTTATGAAGTGGTGCATTAATATAAAGTCTGTCAAAGAATAACAGCAACAAAGAGCTACACCACCATAAACAACAACAACAACAACGGCAACAACAATTTACAACAACAAAAATATAAGCAATATCTACAACAAACAACTACAATTCTACCCTCACCACTTACAACCACAACCACAACAGCAATAGCAATAATAGAACCAGCAATAACAACAACTGCAGCATTATCCCTAGCACTTACAACAACAACAACAACCACAGCATCAATAGCAATAGCAACAACAGAATCAGCAATAACAACAACTGCAGCATTATCCCTAGCACTTACAACAACAACAACAAC